CACACATATATATATATATATATATATTTTTCCAAAACTTATCTTCCAAAATATAAAAAACCCCACTTCTCTTCTAATGAAAATGCAATCAGCAGGCATTATTCAGTCTATAGCTTGGCTATCACAGTATTTTAAGAGAAATCACAACAGTGAAGCATACTCCTGTAGCATGGAAAAACTGTTGAAAAAAGCATGATGTATATAAACTTATACTTCTCATTGATCAATCACATAGCTCAGCAGGCTCAATCGGCTCAACAGAAATGCCATCAGTTCCAAAACATTTTAGTTAAAAGACAGGAAAGATCTACTTGCTTATCTTATACATTGTAACTGTAACATATCCTCATCACATTCTTAGATGGTTTCTCCAAGACAAAAAGTACACAGATTATAATTTTAGCAATCTAATGTTCCAGTCCCAGCTTTTTTAAAAATTTGGAGTATGCCTTCATGAAAATTTCCCAGTCCACATGTGAATCTCCTGCCTGAAATGCAAGAGAGATGTATTCACTTGAAGAATTACACAATATGTATGCCATACAACACCCTCTAGGGAAACATGTATTCTTGGGTCTACAGCAGTTGGAACAACAGCCTCGTATAGACCAAAAGTCTGTGAGACTCTGAGGGATGAGAGATTGGTTTGATTCATACCCCAAATGTATCTCTAGCAACCAAAGCAATGTTCTCCACTATACAGAAAATGAACACAGCATTTCAAGGTATTAATTTAGGAAGCTACCAGTGAATAATTTTTTTATATTATTTATCATGGGAATAAAAGAAACCACAGCAGGCATCCTGAAATCAACCTGTTCTTTCAGTGATTATAAAAAGTTTTCAAAAACCTTTTTTAGAACCCAAAAGATTTTATCATTAGAGATCATTTTAATAAATAATGGAATTTTTCATTAGGAATCTTTTTTTTTTCTGAAAACAGATATACATTACCTTTGTCATTTGGCAGAGAAATACATAAAAAGGTAAAAGAACCAACCCGGGAACTTCTTAGTTGTTTCCCAGAAAGAAAGGCCTTTCTCATTCTAAAGGTCTAACTTTACACCATCTATTCTCTCTGGAGGTAGGAGACGTCCTCTACTCAAATAACATCTGTGTCTTTTAACAGAAATCTCATCTTCTGTCTTTCAATACCAAAGAAATGATTCAGTCCCCACTTCAATCAACTAACATTTGTAAATTAGAATTTGTATTTCTCTGTATTTAATTAAAACAATTTTAAAAAATAATCCTCAAACTATGTTGTTTAAAATACAGTTGCAACAACTGATGTGCATGAGATGCAAGGCTGTATGCACTAATAAGAAAAGGGATGAGTACCTTTTTCACACAGGCGTAAGATCTTAGAATAAAAAACTGTTCTCTCTTCGTACCCATTTATGTGTGTGTGCATGGGTGTCGTGTGAACTTTTTCCACCAAAGAATGAAAATACATGCCTACATTTTTCAATCTGTTGCCAACAAATAAACTGCAAAGTCATGACTTGGCATTTTTTTTATCAGAAGAAAAAATGCCCAATTCTATCAGAACTATCTCTTAATAAAGGTGAAAGTAAACTAATGCATCTTCATTATTTATCTTCTAAATAACTGCAATATAGACATTCACCTATCATAAAGGTGTCTCACCTGTGATCTAAGAAGAGCTAATTCTCTCCTCAATTGCTCTAAGACATTTTCAACAGGATCTACCTGACCTGAGTGTTCTGTTTGTCCATTTTCAAGTCCACTTTCCAAAATCCTTACTTGCAACAATTCTGTTAGGCATTCCCTTCCTTCCCTGTCTTCTTGCAAGGCAGTTACATCAGTAAACTTTACCTGCAAATAGTCTTGCTTATCTTTCAATACTATTATACGTATTTTGTGTGTTACTGGCTCTCCAAGAGCAGATGCACAAGAAATCAGAGAGTTTTTGCTGAGAGACAGTCCTGGGCAAAAAGCTTCTTGACCTGTTTTGTCTGAATTATAAATTATGGACTCTTGATTCTGAAAAGATGGTTTGTTTCTGTAATTTCAATTATTTACCTCTGAGGCCTGACACTGATAAGCACAAAACGAACCTCTGTAGTCTGATTTTAAGCCTTTTGCCATCTCTCTATTGTCCATATTATCTGCTATCCCTGATGTCTGTGTAAATTGTAGCTCTGGTGATGTGAAAACCTCTTTTATATTAAGAGTTTCAGAATTACAGTTGACATTAACTAGTTGCCACTCTGTCACATGTTTTGAACCTAAATGAACCAAAGAAATGTTTCTGGTTTTTTCCAAGTGATTTAAATTCCCAAGTATGCCAGAAGTTCTTCTAGGTATATGTCCCACAGCCTTACTGTTTTCAGCTATATCTTTCTCTGACTTCAGAAATCTAACTGGTTCTTCTCTATCTGCAAGTCTGTTTCTCCCTTCCACGTTACATGAACTGCTAGCCTATATTCACAAAAAATAGAAAATATTCATTAGTCTTCTAAAAAAATTACAAATTATTTACTTTGGAGTCTTTAAAAACAGTTAATAAAAGCACCTAGAGAAATATTTGAACAGATATTCACAAAATAATATTATTTTTATTTCAAAAGAGAAATATAATAAATGTTTATGAACTTGCTTTATGAACCTACCTTTGCTTTTACTTCAGCAATATCATGTCTGTTCAAGAAATCCACCTTCCTCTTATTTATCTCCTCTTCAGTAAAGCTATCAGTTACATGCACATCAGACGCGTCCAACCCTAATTGCAAGTAAATGTACAAGTAATAAATTATTATGAGTTCTTATTTGGTCTTCAAGCAAGGGAATATATTCCATTTAGTGCATCCGAGTTCTAGGTTTCTACCTACAAAATAAGGAGCTGTAAACTCTTCCATTTCAGCACATTATGCTTCCCTGGGTGGCACATAATTGAAGTTTTAAGATTTTTGGAACACTTATCTTATATAGATTTACTGGAAATCACGCAAAGATCATCCTGCATCTAAGAACTGCAAGTCAATGATTCAACTCTCAGTGATGCATTACTAGTCATCACAAGTCAAAAAGCTACTGGGCTGTAAGACTATGGAAATACAAAACCACTTGCCTCTTTCTACAGATTCAATTACATTTATTTAGCCTTGTAATTTAAAGAAGTTAGTAAATATAACATAGCTGTATTACTAAGTATACAGAGCATGTTTTTGAAAGGACAGTTTATAATAAAAACCTACCTGTTGTTGCAACTCTTCTTCCTTTCTCTTGAGCCAACTTACGAACATGTTTTTTCAGTTCAATTCTTTCCTCTTCTAGTCTTTCAATCTGCATATTATTATTCATAGATCAGTATTTCATTTTGTTCAAATACATTTTTATTATGTAGCTCTTACACAAAAACAGGATTTATCACTTGCCTCTTGCAAAAGAATCTGGTTTTCAGCTCTATATTGCTGCTGCTTCAGTGTTTTGCTGTTTCTGAATTCATTTAAATCAATCATTGTCCTTGGCTCAAGACCTAAAACACAGTATATGCCGTATAATTATTTATTAAGGAGGAACACTAATGTTAGCAATTATTAGAATGCAGTTCATTTAAATATGAATATAAATAGTCAAATGGAACTAAAAAAATAATATGTTGATAATTGAATATATATAAGTATTTTGATATATGTACACACATCTTACGCTCCAGGTAATAACACCAGAAAGAAGTATAATTTTACTTCATTTACTCAAAACTAAAAATGTAATAAAATGCTACCTAAAATTGACTATATTTATGCTTAGATTCTTCTATGTAAAAATAAGTCTGTCCAAAGCTTTCTTTGTGTTTTTCAGTCTAGCTTTAAAACTTCAGTATGTTACAGTTTCCAAATGAGATATTATGAAATTTATTAAGCGGCGTACAGTCAAAGAGGAATCAAAACTAAAAAAGCACTACAAAACCTATTCTCCTACTTTCTTCAGTCAAAGCAGACTGTAAGCCAAGTTTAGTCATATACATTCATGGAGTTTGTCCTAACTAACTAAAACTACTTGCAAATATTAGCAGAACATACAAAATGATTTTGAAGTAGTTACTTGGTATAGGAAAAGATTTCCATGACATAATGTTATTTCAACTTTTACACAACAAAAAACTGAAAACATAATGGATACAGCATACCTAAGCGCTCTCGAAGTTCTTCATTTTCATCAAGAAAGTCATTTATTTCAAGTTCACGTTTATTGACTTCCTTAATTAAAGTTTCAATTTCACGATCTCGTATTTTGATTTGCTTTTTTAAATCTTTTATTTCAGCAACAGCCTCTTCCAAACCATATATTCCCTGCAAAAACACAAATGGGAAGTAAAAACAAAACAACCAACAGAAAATGTAAGAAAATCAATGGTCAATCTGTCTTTTATCATTACACAAATAAAAAAATGATTTTCAACCTTTATCCCTCTTCTGCACTATGCTTAGTGCAAAAAGTTACTGAATAAAAAGCAGATCCTACAAATCTGTCTTTTGACTACAGAGGAGTCTCTGCATATTTCAAAATTGAGTCCTCTGACTACATGATCCTTTGAAGAACCGTATCCTGACTGTGCAATTACCATGCAATGGACTTCAGAAACCCATATGAGTATGTTAAAACTGACAACCTGGAAAAATTGTTAAGTATGTCTAATATATTGCATGCAGTCAGTGACCACTAAATGTTACTATGAAGGAACAGGAGAAGGAAAAAGAAAAAAAATCCCAGCATCAGAAGGCATTCATTTAATTTCTAATTAGAACACAGTCATCAAAAAAAATGAAAGGACAACATGATTGCCTAAAAATACAAAGAAATACCCTGTCCACTCTGACAAATTGTTTACCAGTTCATAGTCTCTCATTCGTTTCAGAGCCTCAACAAGTTCTTTGTCTTTTTCTTTAGCATCTGCTTCTGCTAATTCTGCTGATTTCTCAGCCTCCTTAGTTCTCTCTTCTAGCATTTTTAACTTTTCTTGCATATCCCCAATCCAGTTCTGCTGAGCAAGAGATGAGTGACCTGGAAGGGAAAAACTCAATCTGAAGACTATATGAGAGCTTTTTCTTTCCTCAATCATTCATTCAAACAATATTTATAAGAAGTAAGTGCACATAAGGGACATCAGAATTTATTTTGAATTACATGCTACTGCTCATTTGCAGTTCTTGATAGAGCTGAGACTTTATAGGTTATGCTCTAACTTTTACAGACTGGGTATAGTTTTATTGGGCATTGTATTATCCATCAAACCCACTGAAGTACTGTGAATAAATTTAAACTCTTCTCAAATATTTAATAAATGGAAATGAACAAAAAAAAGTAGAGACTAATACTACTCAAATACTGTATTTCTAGAGAATAAAGAATGCACAGCAGATTTGTGGTTTCTTATCTTCCTTTTCATAGACCTTAACATAAAATGATCACATTACCTTTATCTTTTTGGAGATCATTTTTTAATTCCTCAATAATAAATGCATTTTGTTCCATTTCTTTGGTATACTGTTCAACTTGCTCAGTAAGCAATCTTATCTGAGCATCTCGCTCTTGCACTCCCTAAACACACCAAAAAAAACAAGAAACTCCATTAAAGAATTATCTTTATTGACAGGCAAACTACCAATACAGAACACCACACAGTAAATGAAGAAATTAAAAGTAACTAATACAAAAAAATTTATAGAACAAGCAAATATACTGTACTTACAATATAGAGTTCAGATATTATCTAGAAGTTGAGTATACAAATGCAAAGCAGGAAAAATAAAAGAAAGAGTAAAAATAAAGCATTCAAACAAAAAAAATAAAAGCAGTATTTTAGTATATCAACTTTAAATGGAACAATTCTCTAAGAGGTAAGCCAATGTATGATAAAAGGTTTCAGATGATACAGGTTTCCTAGAGCTTCATCATAAACAACTGCCAGTGGGAACCAAGAGATACAAGCTCAAGATTTGGAGGATTAACAATCCATCATAGATGATAACCTGTATTGCAGACTGCCTTTCAGCAAGTCATCCAACCTTAAAAAATTCATATTACACCTTGTTTTGCATGCATATACATCCATAAGTACATAAAGACTGTGAAAGTGACATACATTTAAATTATAGTAATTCTGTGCTTATACATGAACTTTAGAAATATCACAGAGAGCTTCATGTTATTTCTTTCAGTGATCAACAAAAAAAGAGGAAAAAGATAAAAAAGAGACTTGGAAAAAAAATTACAGAAAGTATTTATAATGTAAAAATCTCAAGAGTTCACAACCTTACCTTAAACCAATGTTATGAAAAACAAAAGCGTGGGCTTTCTTAGATGACAAATATAATGACATTTCAAATCTAAAGGTAAAGAGCTTAGCAAAGATGTAAGGAGCTAAACATAACCCTTCAGAATGTAAATGCACACTGAACTACAACAAGCTTAGTCGATTTTGAGTTAAAACACAGTGCAGTAATTGGATTCAATCCTTAAGTGTCTGCTTTAAAAATTAAATTTATTTCCACAAAACTGTTCAAAATGCCATACTAATGATGGTCATCCACAAAACAACCTTTACAGTCATCTAGTCAGCTATAAACAGACTCTACAACTGCTTATCAAAGTTACTTTCAGATGCCTTAAGTTTTTCAAAAAAGTGGGGAAATTCAAAATGATAAAAAACTATTTAATTTTGTATTAATATGAGAGATACTTAAATTCAGGCAGCTCTGTCATGGGGTCAATCACCGACTTAATAGTATAGCATCAGGTGAGACAAAAAAACACAGAAAATTAACTACTATGTAAGACTCTTACATGACTAACAAATTTATAAGTCAGAAACTAAGCCATAATTTTAAAACATTAAATTATGAATACTTAGATGTTAAAGCAATCACTCTACTAATGGAAAAGATAAATATTAAAGTAATAGAACCAACTACCAAGAGCTCAGTTTATACATACAACAAGAGAAGTTTCCTTTTTCCATTGTCTATTAAGCTAAGTTTGAAGTGGAATGAAACAACCTGTGTTGTAATTCTGAAACATAATTAACACATATTCTGGTATTTGCAAACTATGAAAGACTAAATAATTATTTGGTCACTAGCATTCTTAATGAGTGATAATTTCTATATGTGTAATTTCTCTCATAGACTGTACCTGCTGAAGGGCCAGTATACTGTTTCTGTCTACATCGAGTTGGACCATCTTCATTTTCTCTTTCAAGTTAAACAACATTTGCTGATACTCTAGAAGTTCATCATCTTTCGAAGCTAAGATTTTCTGAAAAGAAGATAAAATACCATCAGAACACTTGAAATAATTCCTAAAAATAATAAAGTATTTAAAAGTACCTTCCATTCTTCAACTTTTGCATTTACAGCTGCCATTAGTGGATCGTCTTCCTCATTCTTTGCTTTCAGCTGGTCTGAAAGCTCTTGAACCTAGAAATGGAATTTGGATGAACATCATATCACAAAAAATGTTTTGCTTAACCCATCTATATGTACGAACACACTACATCAAGCACATAAAATTTAACAGATTAGCATTACAGCTGCAAGGGAAGGTCATGAGTCTTCAGAATAGTATCACTAATATTTTGTACAAAAAAACTGTGTGATCTACAGTCATGCTTTTAAATTTGCATGAAAATTTAAAGATCACACTACTTTCAGAGGGTGTTATTTCAGTAAGAGAGTGTGTTTTTAACTGGATACGTTGAATATTTTTTAATTTAAGCTAAAATATAACAATACAGTATAAAACAAAAAATTAACATTCAATAATATAAAAGTCAGTTCTTACTTGAAATTTGTACTGTTCTTTCTCTTTTCTTAACTGATCCATAACAATATCAGATTGCTGCACAATTCGTTTCATTTTGTTATATTCATCAGTCATTTTCTCCATTTCTTGCACCGATTCCTCAAGATTCTTCCTCATTTCTTGGTTTTGGATATCTAACTTCTCATTAGTTTCAGTCAAATTCTGCAAAATTAAATAAAAAGCTGTTTTTAAAACCTGCACATCTTAATACATAAATAACCAGCAATTGATAGCTACCTTAAATGCAAGCCTTTAAAGTATAAATTAGCACTGAAGAGAGTATTTCACCTCTAGATCATCAATTTCAATAAATCCTAACAGCAAATAAAGGACATATTTCCCATTGCCAGTAACTTCATTACCTCTGCCAGATTCACAGATGCAGACTATATGCATCACAGAACCCAACTGCATTATGAATTCCCTTACTCCACTTGACTAGATCTGTAAATTGACACAGCTTGGTGAAAAACACTGTTGTCAGTAACAGTCTAATAAATACTCAAGAGCATGCACAGATTTTACCTGAATTTCATCCAAATACTGGACAAGCTCAAAGTTCTTTTTGGACAACTGCGATCTGTAATCAGAATCCTCTCCTCTTCGTGACAGAATTGTTTCTTTTTGAGAATCTATTTGCCTCTGATAGTCAACTACATCCTGTTGCAACTGTTCATTCTGCACAGAAAGCAATCCAAACACAAAGCTATTTTGAAGAGTTTAAGACAAAGTTATTGCTTTTCTAGCAAGCTAACACAAAGAGCTAAGACGGTTAAAACCCATCCAAATTCCTACAGTCTGCTTTTAAAAAACTTAGAAGTCTCACCTTTTTCTTCATGCATTTTTTCTTCGGATTAAAAAGGAGAAAACAAGACCAAGAGAACAGAGCAAGAAAAATATTAGAAACTATCTTTGCTTCAGAAAGACTTAATAGGAATCAACATAAAGACAAAATAAAATAGAGTTTTATATATACCCATGCATGCATGTACATACATACACACTCAAAAGTGAAAGGGCATTTTGAAGAATGATTCTCAAGGTTTCCTCCCAGGACATTAATTTAACTTTTGATGTCTGTTTTATTCTCTCAGAGTCCAAGATTACAGGTATTAAATGCTATAAAACATGCATTTTTTTTCTAAAAACAGCTAGAAAAAATGTTTCAAGAGAATGATTTTTAAAAAATGCTAGTAATAAAGACTGTTAAGTCTATCTTTGCATTTATTGTTATATTAACTTTTGACTTTTTATAATATTATTTTGACCAATTAGACAACCTTAGCAAAAGCAGCAAGCATAAACTGAATCCTGTCTAATATCCACCAAATCTATTTGTCAATAGTATTTAGAAAAAAAAATACTAAAAATTCAAAACACAAAGCCCAGACAAAATTAATGCATAGTGGGACTACGTGAATTCAAATATAGACGTCTCCTGACCTTAATTAACTAAGTTTCATTTGTGTGAATGTACATTATATTTGCTAAATGTGATTAAAATTCCGTATTCTCTTTGTACTAGTAACCAGGAAATGTTCTAAAACAGAACTAAACATCATGCCACACCAAAGATTATAAATGGAGAAAACTAATAGTATGCTTATAAATAAATCTAAACATACAATAAACTGGCAATAATTCTTTACTAACCTCTCTCCTTAATTTGATGTTTTCATTTTCAGCATCTTCAATACGAAGAGCAAGCTAGAAGATGGAAAAACCTTTATATGTATCACTAACACTACAAACTATGAAAACAAAGAACTCCAGAAACAAAACAGAAAACAAATGCACAGATGTTTCCTCATTATTTTTTTTTTTAATCTCAGAAGCTCTTTTCAGAACACCTACTTTTCAAAAGATATGCCAGAGAGCTTTTAGAGACGTCAAGCTGAAGTCCTTCTTACCTTTTCACTCACTTTCTTCTCCTTCTCCAATTCTTTTTCTATATCTGTTAACTGTCTCTCTTTTTGTTCTAATTGTTTTTCCAGTTGGCGGATCTCATCGCGCAAAACCCGAGTATCACGGCCACCAGCAGATCTTTGTGCCATCTTAAGAGCATTAAAATAACATTATAAATATAGTATAGTTTTTCAAAATATAAAGAACTAAAAACAAAAAGCAGATGCTAAGATTAACATTCCTAATGTTCAGAAAAAGCTCACTAGCTCCTCTTCAAAAAACCCCAGAAATCTTTAAAAATAAATGGGATGTAATAAAGTATAAAAAAAATCATCGTACATATAGCTTTTGCAAACCTGAATTTATATTAGCTAAAATGTAGGGCTTTTACATCTGTTTACTAGAGTAAAATACCAGTCTAAAAAACCTCATTTAAAAAAACCCCAAACAGCACTCTATAAATTAACAAAATTTTAAAATGTACCTCTAATTCATTCTGAAGTTTCATCACCTTGGCTTTAAATTGATTTTCTGTTAAAATAGAATAGATACAGTGAATTACCCAACAAGGTAAAAAGCACATAAAAAAACTCAAGCCTTTAAATACTTGGCTTCACTGAAGCAACTGACTTCAGAACAGCTGGTATGTTATTCAGTTCCCTAAACTTAAAAAAAACACAAACAAAAACCAAACAACTAAAAAATACATTTTAACAAATTATTTAGGAACAGCATAAAAAGGCTTGCTTACCACATCTGGCTTGCTCTTCCCCAGCTTTTTCAACTTCTTCTAGTGCCAGCTCTGACTCTTGAGCTTTCATCTGGGCAAAAAAGCATAGTAAACAAATAATATTTACTATTAACATAAATCAAAAGATTGTTCCATAGACCTCATGTTTAAAATGGCCAAAACATTTACAAAAGCATGCCTATTTTCTGTTTTTAAAGAAATGAAACCACTCCTGTTTCTCCTCATGCTGACAATTAAGAAGTTCAGATTTTTGAAACATTTTTAGTAATTTATTCTACAGGACTATCTAAACATTCAAAAGCATACTGCTGAGCGTATTGCTGTATAAAAACAGTAAAAGCACCTCTCTAAAACCAATGTGCTAACCTATGCTGCTGTCATTTCTTGCTTTCAGTACATTTATGTGTAAATACAAGGAAGTATGACAGATTTATCAGATCAGTTTTAGGATGACAATGTTTCTTCATTCACCGTGATGTTTTTATTTACTCTAAACCATCAACCTAACACAAACATGTCTATTAAAGTTAAAAACACTACCTATAACTTGCAACATCTAACCAACTTTTGAGATATTTGTTTGCATTTTCCAACTGTAAAAGTAGAGTTCCTTAACTATATAACTATGCTAGTCCTATTCACTTTACTCCCACTGCTACATGCCATAATCCCAACAGCTACAGCAGACACTCTGGTGCAAGCACACATTTAGCATATAAATGCTCTTAGGAGTAACTAGTGCGTTCAATGCAGGAAAAGAAAAAAAATGCAAGTAATGATGCTTTCATTTAAACAAAAAATAAACAAATGCATCTGTGGAACTGTAGAAAGTGAGGATTAATACAAACCTTCATTAGCGACTGAGTAATTCTGAAAAGGTGTATCAGTTGTTCTGGAGTTTCAGTTTTTAAGTCTTTCCCATCAACCTAAGGAAAGAGGTAACAGTGGTTTTATACAAATATCAATGAAATCCACAAAATAAATCATTTATGTATGTGAAGGACCAGAGACAGTTTAGGGAAGAATACATAACAAACCCCTTATGTTCCGTTTTCCCCTTGAGTACCTTGGACATGGTCTCCAGCAATTTGTCTGCTAGTTCCTCTTGACGAGGCAGAGCATCTGGATCAACTTTCATAAGTTTCTTCCATTCTAAAATGGGTGCCATATTGAATTTATATTTTTTTCTGGAATAAAAAATAAAACAACAATTATCAGACATGGTCAGTGCCAAACAATTTTACGTCAAATGATAAGAAGGCTGGCCCAGGAACCAAAAAAGATTATTCTGATTACTGGTTTTGTAGCACTGATGAACATTGTGTTCACGTTCTGGTCTACTGCAAACAAGAGGACTATAGTAATACCATTTTTTCTTGAAGTTAAAAATTAGATCATGCATACTCAAGGAATTTGTGACACTAACAATGAAGATCAGGACACATGTGAAACCTCTATTTTAACTTTAATACCCTTCTTTTCCTCCCCATCTCTCAACGCAGTATTTGTAAGTAATGAGCAAACACAACTGGATGCCCTTTGAACCAGCCCTTGCAGAATAAACATATCCTTATAGTCACAAAATCGTTATTTCTAATATTCAAAACACAACCAACACTTGATTTAGTTTGATATTATGAGCATCCATCTCGATATTAATTTATAATATCAAGATATTAAGATATTAAACTTTTGTATGGAATATACTTTAATTTTGATTAGACTACTGGAACTGATAAAGGACAGTAAACAACCTGGAAACTGACAAAAATCTAATCAGAAAGAGGTGCAAAGTTTTGTTCTACTGCTTACCTACTGGTTGCTGTGGGCCACAGTGACTTCTCATACACCTGAAAGTCAATACAGTATCTGAAAAAGGCAGAAGAGATTGGAAGTCTTGGATTAGTCTTTTCTCTGGAGCTGTCTCTAGCCTTTATTATCTATATTTCAAATATTAGACTCTGCCAAGTTTTAACCAGAACATTTTTTAATCTACTTATTGCCCTAAATTATGAGTATGGCACAAATGGTTACGAAAATTTAGAAAGAAATAAAACTTAACTAGAATACTTAATTCATTATTATTAAAAAAACTAATGACATAGCAGGGATATATATCTTACAGAAAAAATCATAATCAAGCTCAATCAGTAACTGCGACAATGCTCTATACTGAGCATGATATTTAGAGATTTGTTCCATCATGCACTGTTCATAATTCAGCAGTTTAAAGACTCAACAGCTAAAACCTCCCTCCTTAATGAAAGGTTGAACCAGTATTACTTTGCCAAAAAATATGCCTAAGCATTCTGAAAGCAGTGATGCAAGACTTTGAAATCCATCTGTATGCTTAAGGGATGATAAAAATCATGCAGTGCTGCAAGACTTTCTCATCTTTTTGACTACATAAACTATTTGAGAACTCCTCTATATTTACCATTTCTTCAGTGTTTGCTAAATGTTTCTTAAAACATGCATTCCATATAATCCATGACTCCGTAAGGATGACAGCATATATACATTTTTGCTTTTCTGCTTTGTTGTAGAGAGTAAAGGAAAATACGAGGAAATCACATGGAGGTGCATACTGATCTTAGCACTCTTCTTCTGTTAATTGTATACTACTTGATTTTACTAACATACCTGTTAAAGGGTTGGGGCTTTTTAGAACATATTAATTTTTTCTTAAATCAATGAGATGTAGGAATTGTGAGCATGAAATGCCCGACAATCAAAACTATTCTGAAAGCAAATATACAATCTTACTACTGTCAATCTTTTCCTACCTTTCATCTTTCAAACCTCTTTTTCTCTTAACTCATAAAATAACATCTTAAGAAAGTATCAGTCTTAAAATTGTGTCTGAAAAGAGAGATATCTGTACATAAACTAATCCAACTGGCTGAGAGACTAGCTATAGGAAGGTGTGGTGAGCATAACCTAAGCATGCAGTATGTTCCACATTATAAACATACTTATGGACAATAAGAAAGAACTTATTTGATTTAAGAGTTTTTCAACATAAAATTTAGCTGATCCCTTTCCCTCAACTACAGCCTGTGATTTTAGCTGATTGATGATCTGTGTAGTAAGACACTGAAATCATGGCTCTGCAAAAAGCATGAAATAGATATGCATTTGACATTAGTTATTATGAGATTTTCTTGACTTACTCAAGGAATGAAATACACATAAAAAGGCCAGATGAGCACAATGTTCAGCAAGGGCAGATAGAAAAAGACATCTGGTGGGCATGTTTCCATACTGTAAGTTCACAATAATGTCTTGTGCTGCCCAGAGGAAACCAACCACACAAACAGGCAGTTAAGCTACCACACAGATACCTTATCATCACAGTGAAATTAAGCACCAGCAGGAACAGCTGCTCTTTTCCATAAAGGGGTGTACAGTGTGTAGCACAGCCATGTATACTTGAGCAGGACTGAACACCAAGAAGCAGCACAGCCACGCAGGAGGTGCGCTCTGCTAACTCCGGATTAGTTCACCAGGACTAACCCAGTTTAAGCTACTTCTGGATTTCAAATTACGTTAACCAGAGCAGCGCTCATCTTCTAGCTCTAGAGAGCACTGCAAACCCACACCCAAACTGGGGTCTTGTGCGGGGTTCCTATTGTCTTCCCATTTTTATATTCCAGCCCCGGGAATGACGCAGGGACAGACTGCGAACCCTCCGAGGTGCTTCCGAGAGACATTTTTGCTTCCACTTCACCTGACCCTGCTGAATTAGCAGGTTGCCTTATTTTGCGTCCACCTTCATCGCGGGGTCCAG